ACAAGCCTGGGCAACACGGTGAAACCCCATCTCTATAAAAAATACAAAAATTAACTACTAACTAGGCATGGTGGTGCACACTTATAGTCCCAGCTACTCGGGAGGCTGAGGTGGGAGGATCACTTGAGCTTGAGAGATAGAGGCTGCAGCAGGCCATTATTACACCACTGCACTCCAGCCTGGATGACAGAGAACCTGTCTCAAAAAAAAAAAAAAAAAAAAAAAAAAAAAAAAAAAAAAGAAAGAGAAAGAAGCTGAAGGCATGCTCTTTCTTGAAAATCTATCAGACCTGCAAGGAAAACCATGTATGAAAGTGACCCAAAGGAAGTTGAGGAATGCACAGAATGACCTCTAGAGGTTCCTTTTAGCACTAATGATCCCTGAAGGAGACTTACAGACCCTCATGAACTGACCCCAACCAGGCATTGGCTCGCTGCTTTTTTCCTCCACGTTGGCTGGTGCTGTCACAACACTCACTACAGCAATTCCTCCCAACCCTGCCTTGCCCTCAAGCCTCTGCTGCTGGAAATGACCACTGGCCCATGTTCCAGAGGGTGTGGCTGGCACAGCGGAGGAGGAATGTGTCTGACTTGTATGTGAAGGTAATGACTGGGTAAGACACACAGCGTGCGCAGAACCGAGTTTATGGACCAGCCTTCCATGTGAAATTTGACTTTTCCCTCTTTGCTGAATTGGCCAGGTTAACAATGGTTACCCCTCAATTACAGGAAGCATGCATGCTACAAAGCCTCCTTGGAGACCCACATGGCCCTCAGATGAGCAATTGTTCAGATTTCTTTTCTTTTTCTTTTCCATGGGAATAAGGGTTCCTCTCTGCAAAGCACATGTTTTAGGGTTTTTTATTTTCTTGCCACCCCCAAGGGCCTGGTGATAGTTTTCTTTACCATGCATTAAACAGAATCTGGAGTCTTCGTGGGGAAAAAAAGGCAGGAGGGAACATACTAGTTAAAACGTTTCTAGGTACACTACCAAGATGTACCTATTTATTGATATACAAATGACATAAGTTATTGAATGCTTGCTGTAGGCATTCTCTGTTCTAAGAAATTTGTAAGAATCAACTTACGTAAGTTACTTCATAGCAGTTCTATGATGTAGTATTGTTATTATCACCACTTTACAGATAAGGAAATAGAGACATGACATACAGAATGACATGCTCAGTGCCACTCAACTAGCAAGTGATAGAACCAAGCTTGAAACAGCTGATCTGACTCCAGAGTCTGTGCTCTGATCTACTATATCACAGCGGTTTCTATATGTGCTATTCTCCTAATATATACTGTTTGAAATACATGAAAAAGAGTAATTTTAATAGAATGAGTTCTCATACTTTTGTCCTCTGCTCCAGTGAGCCATCTAGAACCACCTCTGAGATCTATGTGCCCTCCTTCCAAGATCATCTTGGGGGATTCTTATAGGGGAAATTCAAACTGCTACCCTCAGGGGTCTTAGTGTCCTTGTCTCTATTTGCATTCTATAATGGAAGTGGGGTCTATAACTGTAGAGTCTGTCCTCCAGTTTGGTCTGCCATCCACCAGTTCAGGTCACTTCGCTCCCCACCTCTCTGCTGCCCCTGGGAGCCTGGGCTTTCCCACTGAGATGCAGCCAGGCAGAAAACACCTTCCCCATATTCCTTCATGCCCCTTTGTCCTCCAGCCTAAACTTTCCTGTCCCATTATATCAGGAAGTTACTAGGTAATGCACTACTCGCTCAACGGAAAAATTAATTTGAACATCTACATCACTCTTCCCCTTTCTATCTTCAATCAGTGATCACGTGTTACCTTCTTGTGAGAACTTCTCTAACTTTCCTATTTAAAATTCTCCCTCTGTCTCTCACACACACGCACGAAACTCCCTTCTGCTTTACTTTTCTTCACGGTGCTTTTATCAGATGTTATTCTTATTTTTCTATTCCCCCTCCTCCAACTCAAAAATAAACATTATGAATGCAGAAATCTCTATCTGATGTATCCAACCTTGTATGCCCAGTGCCTACACAGCACAATTAGTTCATAGTAGACCCTAAAAGCTTCGGGTTGAACAAATGAATAAACTGTTTCTCTGGGATTAACAATTAGGGATTTGAAGCCAATAAGAGAAATAATATAAAACAGGGGAGCTTTTCTTAATCACATTCAAAAATATCAATGCCTAAAATACTGTACATTTTCTACCTGGTGTGCTGGAAAAAGTTGAATAGTAACCAGGTTACTCATACAACTGACAATAGGAATAAATGTAAATCCAAAGTAAACCCCCTTTTGCTCAGTAAACCATTTGTTTTCCAAACAATCTTTTACTTTGTCACTGATTACATAGTTCTTAGGTCCTACCAAACCATGAGGCTATAACAGAGCACAGCACAATATGGTTGATTTGTTGATTTGGTGTTTTAAACTAATTCATGTTGTTTGAAATAATTATGACTGATATTTGTGTAAATGCTGACACTGGCATGGTCAATGCCTGGTCAAAAATTTCTATATAGGACTTGTTTGGGGATTGCAAAGGGCTAGAAATTGGCCATAACTAAGGATCTTCATTAGAAGTTTCCTTTGAAAAGTTCCACACTTATTTCATAAGACTGAGCCACAATCAGTTTTTTTGCCTGAACACGTAGGAGAGCTAATAGAGAATATACCACCCTTAACCACTGAATGTGACTGAGATTCTTAATACTCTGAATACTGATGAACTAGAGCATAGAACATTATTTTATTGTCAGTTTATATCAATATGGTATATTTCAGACTGGCCATAATTGGAGCTGCTTTTAAGCAGAATTATAAACCAACTCCCTACTTTTATTTACTTACACGGAAAGTAAACAATCTAAAAATGAAGTCTTTTATTTTCTGAGGTATCACCCTGTAAATATGGATCTCTTTTCAGATGAAGTGTTCGTAGGAGATAGATTTGTCCCTATCTAAGGAAGATGAGCAGGAGGCGATGTAATTTATGAGCTGAACTAACAGAAGGGTGCTGAGTTGGATTTTATTAAACTAATATTATGGCTGGCAAGGATGGCATGTCAGATGTCCTGTTCATTTTAAACATCATGCCATTTCAATAAATCATTTTTATAATTTTAAATACATTATATAGGTGCAATGCCAGTAAAGGGTATGTTTACATATGCCAGACACATTGGTTTGCTTCCCTACATCCTGTGTTGCTCATTTCATTTTCTAGAGATGTAGTTATCAGATTATTTTCATGAGCTAATCCATAGTTTACTTATTTCATAGTCTTGATTTGGTGCTGTTATGCTTATTTGATTCTTCCTTGTACATACATAGTCAACTCACGTGAACATCATTACAGTGTTTCTCCCTTCCTTCTTGCACAAAGAGCTAAAGGAATCTCCTGTTTTAATTCCTTTGCCCATGTAGTACAATGAGAAAACAATACACAAGGTGCATTTGGGGAAATTTACCATAAGATTTCATCTGAAACAGTTGTGTTATGTAAGATAGTGCATCGTATTTCAGAATATTTAAGGTTGAATTTTTTTTTACTGTGTGAACTCTATACTATTTTCTTTTCTCCCCTAACTTCCCCTCATTTAACAGCAGACAAACCCAGGGAGCACTGAATGAATCCGATGATCCTGAAACAGGCTGTCTAACTGATAACAAGCCAACTTCTCGACACTTCTATCCTGTCGCCTTGCTGCTTGTCAGCTCACACCTGCTAGTTGTGTGGCTTATTTTAAGTCTGGCATTGCTCTTAGCCAAATACCAATAAGTTTTATGTTGTATTCCTTTTTCTTTTCTACAAATGACAATGAACTTTAAATCATGGGGACAATGCTGTAATATTTTTACATTTTCAAGTTCACAGAATTTAAAAGAAAATGTTTAATTTGTGTTTTTGTTTGTTTTTCCTAAAATCTGAAAAACAGACAGTACTATGCATTAAGTGGATTATTTTGCTCTTTTGTTCATGGAAAAGTGTTTCCCACTGTTAACTAGCTCAAGAAGAATTTTTAAATTACTGTCTTTGGAATAAGACAAAGAACAGAATCCTGAAAGCTTGAAGTTCTGAACCTCCTGTCCTCATCCCATTAAATTTATTAAAGAAATTAAGACTGAATTTGCACAAACACTGAAACCCTGAGACAAGTTCTAGAGACGTGGGAGGTTGCAGACTTTATTTCCACTGTGCTAATATCATAGATGCCATCTGCTGATAGAAATTTTTTTTAACCTGTTTTACTTCTTCGCTGCAATTAACTCTTTTCTGTCAAGTAACTTTATGGAGAGAATGGCTATTTATGTTTTGTAATTAAATTACCTGTTTGTATCTCTTGTTTGGGTTGATTTGGCTTTCAGAGGACTTTTCTATTCTTTTTAACAAGGTCTTGTTTGTGTCTTGATGTACCATTCCCAGCACTTGTGACTTTTGTACTGTCCGTGGACAAGCACTCTTCCTTTATAAAGCTGAGACTTGGCCCAGGCTGTTCAGAAAGCCATTTTCTCTCTTCCTTGCACAGCTGAAATAATAAAATTAAAATAGAGATGAAATTTTTCTTTAAAAATCTATAGGGCCAGACTTAATAAATTAAATGCCTTATTTCTAGAACCTGCATCCTTAGGGCTACATATAGATTTTAATGTGTTTTAAAGAGACTGAGAAATTAATTTGTGGAAATGTTATAAAATGGCAGATATATTTATGAAACTAAAGTGGAGCTGTATTGTGGAGCAAATTATATTTAAAGAGTTTATTAAATTTTAAATGTCTGTTAAGAGTAAAGAGACTTAAGTCATCTCTTTCAGAGGGCAATAATGGTATTGGGCCTGGCCTAGGATTTAATTTTGTAAGATGTATCATCACTTGTGGAAAAAAAGATGTAGAGTTGAATCTTTGTTATTTTTACTTGGACTGTTGCTGCAACTCTGCATTAAACAAATAAAGCATATTTATTTATTCTGTGTTTCATGAAGTTGTACTTTTTCCCCTTTCACCAGAGAAGGATGCCGCATAGAGAATGTACTGAAGAATATCAAATGCAGAAAGTATGCTTTCAACATGCTACAGCTGATGGCTTTCCCCAAGTACTACAGACCTCCAGAGGGGACTTATGGAAAAGCTGACACCTAAGTTTACCAACATGTTAATAAACAGGAACACAAATATGTTTCAGTTGGATAATCTTCACCTTGGTCTTTTTTGTTTGTTTTTATTGTCATGAATTTGTGGTTGGGGAGATGATCACAGATGTTTGCCAAAATCTAGGAACTACTTGAATTCATTGTCAGCATATTACTCTGAAAGAAATCCATTTAAAAAAATCTTACATGACTCAGTACTGTCATTTCTAGTTCTAAGTTTCTATGTGCTGAGCCTAGCTGATTGTGATTGGTTCACAAAGTATAAATTTCATTCATGAGTATTTAAATGTTTCTGAGGAAACATGGATCATTTCAGTAGGACTTGGGGTGATTCAGAGAGCACTACTGTCCATCCAAATGAAGAGAGGAGAGGGGGAAAAGGAGCAGAGTTTTTTGTGATACAACTTAATAACCTATGAGAACATAGTCAACCTGAGAATCAATATAAGGGATTAAAAGAAAACGTGTAGCCACTCAATTAGGTAGAGTTAACTCGTGATCTGGAATACTGAGGCAGTTTGCAGGTATGTTCCACAATGATCTCTATCATCCAGTCAAGGTGTGACTCTTCCTCTTCAACAGGCATATGCATGAAGTGAGTAAAGCAGTCAACAGACCTTTCAAAACCATGGCATCTTTTCAGAACTCTGACTTGGGTTGTGTGATCTAGCTGTGAATGTAGCAATATAGAACGTTTAATAGAGTGATAGGCAAAACACTGCAATGATCTAAAATTGCAAAGAAAATAAAAATGAACATTTTGATACCCAAAATGAAAATCCCCATCAGCCTGAACTTTATGTTGTGAAGTTCATGAATGTCAGTGAGGTGTCTCTGAGATGTTTTTTAGCAGTCATCTCAGTATAAGCATGCAGTTATGGCATAGGTTTGTATATGTTAATAAGCCTTTAAAACGTATGCAACCACAACAAATGATAAAGTAAAACAATTATTTTCTGTTACCCTGAATTTCAAACTTGCCCTTACTCAGTAAAATAACAACATTTATAAGTTTTCCAAAATCCCAAAGTAGAGGTTTCCTTAAAAATCATCTTGTATAATACCAGTATTCAAAAATGGGTAAGGTTAATCACCCCCAATCACCCAGCAAAAGAGTTGCAAAATCAGAATTACAACCTCTTCTTACTTTTCTAGCCTGTGGCTTGTCCCTTCTCCAAATTGCTATGCTAAATATGCATGAAAATTAAGGGAGAATGCTAGTTAGTTAAAAAGAAATTAGGATTTATCACTGGAATTGAAACTAAGAGTACAAAAGTCTGAATGAATGAAACTTTTTTTCTACAAATTTTATGAATTTATTCTTGTTCCTTTCTCATTAGAAGAACATGCTATCCAAAGCATAAATCTCCCTTGAAAATAACAGAGGCTCATTAAGCCCTCTCTTAGCTATGATCAATGGATGATATTATGCTTTCCATACCGAATGTGATAGCTCCTTGCCTAATATTCCTGTTGAAATAAGGATTCCAAACACATTTCTAGTCCCAGGTTAAGATTTTCAAATTACTACAAATTTTAGGTAAGCATTTGGAGTTTTTTACACTAGAATTATCAATTTTTTATTTTAGCTAATTACCTGTGGGCATTATACTTGAGGCAGTTACGAAACTACTTACAGCCTTTTTAATGAAAATGTGCTGTGTACTTTGAATCCATTCATAGACAAAATTACCTTGATGTTCTCTTAACTCATTCTTTATTTTAGTGATTAAATATGACCTTTGAGTTGTTCAATATCATTTGAAAATGGTAGGATTTGTGGTTATTTTCATGCCCCACTGGATTTAAGATAAAGAGGCTGGGATGACAGAGGCCTCCTCCAATATCTATGAAGCCTCATTCAGCATATCAAATGGTAATCTGAGTTCCAAGAAACCTTAAGTAATTTGTCAACCTGTAAATACTCTTATAAATAATAATTTTTATTTGTAGTTTTAAAAAATGAAACCACTTGACTCGAATACAGAAAAATATTAACTAGAAAGCCAACAGCAGGGGTTTCTATTTTTAAAAGACATTTCAAGGATTTCCTATAATCCCAGCACTTTAGGAGGCCAAGACGGATGGATCACTTGAGGTCAGGAATTCAAGATCAGCCTGACAAACACGGTGAAACCCCATCTCTACTAAAAATACAAAAATTAGCTGGCTGTGGTGGTACACACCTGTAATCCCAGCTACTCGGGAGGCTGAGGCAAGAGAATCGTTTGAACCCAGGAGGTGAGGTTGCAGTGAGCTGAGATCACACCATTGCACTCCAGCCTGTGTGACAAGAGTGAAACTCCATCTCTAAATAAGTAAATAAATAAATAAATAATATAGAAGCCTCAAATTATAGTGCTTACTGTAATACAAATGCTTTATGAATTTTCATTCATTAGCATAGTCATCTGCATTTCCTTATAGAAAGCCTATACTGGTGTAAACTTCTAAAAGTGGATTTCATCAAGAAAATGTATTTCATAGAGACAACAATATTGCTTTTTTCCTGAGAGACAGTTCAAAAATTCTTGAACAACTACTTCACTATTTCTTAAGTTATTAAGGCTAAATCAAAGAGCAAATGTTAAAAAAAAAAAAAAAGCGTTTAAATCTCTCTTGAACGAACACAGCCACAGGCATGCTATTCTATCTACATTTTCACTTAAAAGATACACCAGCAGACCTATTTTAGGAGGTCATATTGAGCTGAAAAATGAACTGAGCAAATGACATTTCCAAACTCTTTTTTTGCTCAAAAATAATATGTTCCCCTTTGATATTAAATGCAGATATCAATTCTGGATTAGTTATTTACTGAGCCCTAGGAAAAACATATTTAAAGACAAGGAAACCATTCATTTACATTTCATATCATTGCTTTTTTCTTTTAAGTATTGCCTTGAGGTTTGTCTATACTCTGCCAAAACAATCCCTGAACATAGTTTGGTCAGCCTCATAATTCAATGAGTCAAGAAACCATTTGATCCAGGTGATAAACTGTACTAAATAACAAACTGCCCAATCAGGGCAGAGCTCCACAGACCCAGCCTCCAGCCCTTATTTTATAAGACTAACCCCTCTTCTGAAAAACTCTGAAGGCTTAAAAGCTAGCATTTGGATAGAGGATACTTCCTTTTTATCCTTCAACTATGTATGGCATTTTACATAAAATAAGAGGTAAAAAAGCAAAGAGAAACTGATTTGTATAAAGTAATGCCTTTCTTCCCAAGCAAATCAAACGTCTCCCTATGTAAAAGTTGATAGTGTACCAAGAGACACACTACCACTGGTGGGCTGGAACTAGCTCGTTCTGATGCATAAAAGTTGGTAATTAAAGTATCCAAAATTTTGTAAGCTAGTTGTTAAATGTAACCATTATTAAATATGAAATTACAAAACACAATGGAATACATTGAAAACAAAGGTAATAATCAAAACATACCACTTCCCAATTATTTTACTACCTTATACTATTTATCAGGACTCTTGAGTCTGTTTAGGTCTATTGCATCTTTATAGTGAAAACAGAATACAATATTGTGCTACTATGGGTCTCTTCCTGACTGCAGATTCTTAACGTGGTGTTAGTAGCTTGAAACTGTCCACAGTGGGAGTATTTACACCATAGAAACTGGCAAATGCTATGAACTAGCAATTTTAATTCCTGGAAAGGCAGTTGTTGAGCATTTACCGGCACACAATGAATGCCTTCATCTATTTTTTTTTCATTAGGAAATAAATTATGACAGGCAGTATAAAATTATTAAAATGGTATCAAATGCAATCCCTTATCTTCAGATGGCTATAATTTTGTTTTGGTTTTTACCTTCTTTAAAGACTCCTGTTAGGTTAAAAGTCATATTTGATGACTATATTCATAATTAAATTATTAAATCACATTTTCTCTTGATAATGCTTTGCAGGAGAATTCTTAGCAATTCAACTGTAGTCTAAGCAATAACTCAGGGCTAAATTCAGGGAAATGTTAGCCCAATCAGATATCACTAACAATGTACTTCACCATCTATTTTGGAGTTTATAATTTTGGCATTTGCTGAAAGTAGGAAAAACAGTAACATATTACTGTGCCCAGATTCTAATAAATGTAGCTCAATTGAAACCTAAACTGTTACATTAAATAAATTACACTCTGGCACTATGCTAAATCACCACAGATATTTTAGGTGTTTAATTTCCAAGCAGGATGGTGTATCATTTGTTTGGTTCAATATACGAGGCACCATTTGTAGTCTTTTAGGAAATAAATTAACTTTTATCACAGATTTAGGAAACTTGTCTAAAAAAACTGTGATCATCAGTTACAGAGGGAAGGAAACATATTGAACACAAGGCATCATAGTAGCTGGAGGCCTTAAAAATTATGCACGACTAAAAAGAATGATTTGGTGAGAGATGTGTAGCTGATTGACAATTTTAGTGTGAATTCACATTCATTTAACCCAGCAGCAATCTACATAAGCTATGCTTTTTCCCCCCATATTTATGTTTCTTAGCTTATAAAGTCCCAATATATTATCTTTTGTTGCTTTGGCAGTTTTAAGTTAGAGCACTGCATTCACAGAGATGCCACCTATAGCAAAAACTATCTTTAAGAATGGGAAACCAAAATGAATGTTTTATATAAAATATTGCAAGCTATTAGGTGTAGAGTTAATGTATGGAAATTTGCATTTGTTTTTCTGAATCATGGTGCACATTGATCACTCACTGAATTTTATTTCTAAGCAAATAAGAGAGTCAAACATTTCTAAAAGGAACATATTATGTTTTGCTATTAATAACAAGGAGATAGGAAAAATAGTAAGGTAACATAAGCCAAAAAAAAAAAATGTAATGAAATTAGCTGCCCTGAGTTGGAATTTTTACAGATTGCATGCATACTTAGAATTTTAAATTTTTAAAAGATTTGCAATTGAGTATGGTACCCAGAGAGAGTGAGTATCAAGGGAAAGAAGACCTAATACAAGTGTTGTTGCCTGATAAATCACATCTTGCCAAAAAGTATATAATTTTTAGTAAATACAGTTCTTTAGGAAGAAAAAAAAATGTTGCCCTTTCACACTCACAATGTAAATACATTGATAATATTCCTTAAATCATCTAAATTACTGCCAGGTCATGAAAGGACATGATCAATGATGACCTACTGCACTGACAGGCAACATTGACTCAAATTTTGGCAAGATTGCTATGTTATCTAGATAATTCTTGTGATGTTTTTATGTCACTATCAACATTAAAAACATTTTATGTTAAACTATGAAACTTTCAAAAGTTTGACTGCATATAACTGTATGGGCACTCTCATTTCACTGCATACATACAATACTTTGTATACACAGACTTCTCATGTGAATATTATTTTATTTAACCTAACATTGAACTTTTAGATTTTTGTGGTACTCATCTGAAAGGTTGGCATTTGTTTTCTTTTTATGTTACATATATATTTTAGATGAACCAATAACGTGTATTCCTAGAAAATAGGAATTTTTTCTTGGCACAAATAGATTGATCATTTTATATTGGCATTTAAGACATGTCATTTTTGTTTTATTGTTCTGTGTAAACCATATTCATTGTACACTGTGTGTATATTTTTGTTTAAATAAATGTGATTTTTATTTTTTATGTTTCTGTCTTTTTCTCCCTATTATACATTGTTTTCATTTTCATCACTACGGATATGTTTAAACTTTAATTAAAATATTAGAAATGTAGCATAAACAATAATCCAATTCCCAGTTAATTTTCTACTGGGCTGCAATTAACAATGAAAAGTTTTCATTGATGCTAGGTTAATCTAATTTTCACCAGTGGAATTTAATTTTCAGGATGACTATTCCATGGAAGCAAGATTAACCACAGTTTGCCCAGGCATGGTGGCTTACGCCTGTAATCCCAGCCCTTTGGGAGGCCGAGGCAGGCAGATTACTTGAGGCCAGGAGTTCAGGACCAGCCTGGCCAACACAGCGAAACCCCTTCTCTACTAAAAATAAAAATAAAAAAATGGCTGGGCGTTGTGACATGCACCTGTAATCCCAGCTACTTGGGAGGCTGAGGCAGGAGAATCACTTGAACCTGGAAAACAGAGGTTGCAGCAAGCCAAGATCGTGCCACCGCACTTCAGCCTGGGTGACAAAGCAAGACTTCGTCTCAAAATAAATAAATAAATATAAATAATAATAACCAGTTTTAAGAAGGTTCAGAACCAGGTGTTAATGCTTTAACATGGAGCAAATCATTAATCTTTGTTGCCAAGATTATGTGTAGTGTCATTTAAACACACCAAGAAAATTTTTTCTTAGACTATTTAGGTCTAATCATTTATAATTTGTTATAGCAATTGATAGTGGGAGGAACATTCCAAAGAGTTTTAATTAGATCATGTTACAGAGGAATTAACCGAATGAGACTCCTGTTTGCATGCAATGAAAGAATGAATTTTTGCCACCTAGAGATTTTCAAAAACATATCTGATCCTGCAGCAAGAAATATTCCTTTTCTGTAATGTCTTCATCAGTAAATGTTAATATAACATGTTTTTCTATAGCTGAGCAGCAATAATGCTGAAGGTAGCTCCTTGGTGAAACAATGCATACTAAATTCTAGCAAAATTCTGCCTGCTATGAAACCAGAAGAGTAGCCTGAATGAAGTAGTAGTACTCTTAAACATCCATATGAAGATTCCTGTGTTTTAAGGGAATGACATCCCACTCAAAATCAGAGTACAACAAAGGACTCAGAAAATTTGTCCCAAGGCTTTATTTTGGACCAGAGAGTAGAATCAGGAGAGCAGGTAGATGTGGCTGGAGTTTGTCAATCTAGAGTCTATTTTCAGCCAAAGCGGCCACGTGGGTATGACTGTAACTCTATAACTGCATGGAACGACACACACTCAGTTCTGTTCTCTCAGTGGTTTTGATGCATAACAGGAATCAGGAACCTAAGTCTTTTAATAAACTTTAAGTTCAAAGAGAAGGCAATGGGAAAAATCACATTTGGGTAGAACGCTGGGAATGTGGTATTCAACTGTTAAAAGCTATCTTCTGTCTCTTAATTCAGATGACTTGATTTTCACCTTAGCCTTCAAATAAATACAGTATTAATACTTCTATTCATATTAACAGAATTAAATAACAGTGAAAATACTGACCTGCCTTTTGCCTAGTATGATGGTTTCTCTCTTCTTAGACCAGTTGACCATAGACTACCATCTCCTTTATAATTCACCTCCTTTGACTTTGAGTATGATACACGCTTCCAACACTCTCTAGTCTCAGCTACCACTTCTGCTTCCTTTCCCTATTTCTTGAATTTAGAAATTGCCCCAAAATCTAGACTTGATATTCTTTGTTCAGTTAATATTCTTTCTTGAGGTCTACAGCTGTTATTTCTAAGGCGAATACTCCAGCACAGGGCTAAAGAATGTCAGCTTTTAAGTTAGAATGCCTGGTTACAAACCTTGGTTCCCACACTGATTAGGTGTGGATCTATGTCAAGTTACTTAATGTTTCTATATTTTCACATTCTTATCTATAAAGTCAGTGTAGCAATAATATGAATTACTATTCTTGTTGAAACGTGAGAAAATGTGTGTATAGCCCTTTGCGCAATGACCATTGTGCTGCGTCTTCTCTGCCAGCACTCGGCATCTTTTCCAATTATATTTTATGTCCCTGGAGTACCACCACTTAAAAGAGAAGGGCTAGAAGAGTAAAAACTCCTTTTCCCTGGCACACTTACCATGAGAGTTCATGATATGCTACAGGGTCTGCCAATGAATCCACTTATACCATATTTGGAAGGCAGAAAGGAGTGGGAGGCAATTTATTATTTTTTTTTACACCGGTGTGCACAGACAGGTATATTGCAGAATGTAAGCAGCAGTTAGACTTCCATATCTATTGCCCACCTACTAGGTTGTCAGTTGAGGTGGCTATGACATCAGCAGTGGTGGCAACCATAGAGTTAACATTTTCTTGTCCTCTGACTAGCAATAGCACTTCGTAGCAACTGGATCGGAGACGTTTGAAGCCAGAAGACTATTAAGGGTCTTGCAACATAAGGTTCCTCCATGTTTTCCAATTATTTTATGAACATCTAATTCCCTGTAATAAATGTTCTATATTATTTTCTTCTAGCAATAACTGGATTTTATATCCATAACTGATAACCTTAGTCTACAGTATATATTTACAAATTTGAAAGTTGTTGATTAACCTTTTGATCTTCTATTTTTATCTGGGCTCCTGCATTACCTTTCCAAGCATCTGGTGGCTATTTGTGAATGTATTAATATATGTATTTAAATAATCACAATTTCATTGCACATACAGCCTTTCCAGGTTTCCTGTCTCTGTTAATGGAATCTCTATCCTTGTCCCAGAGGTTCACAAGTTTGAATCAGCTTTGACTCCTCCATCTCTGTCAACATATTCTGTTTGTCACTAAGGTTTGTCCATTTTACCACCTCCTCTTCATACCTTTTACTTTCTTATTCCTTTAACAAAGCAACTTCCTTTCTATACATCTTTTATTACTTTTATAATTATAGTTCCATCCAAACTAAAACCATAGTTTCATCCAAACTTTCACTGTCTGGTAGTCAATGAAATCTACAGTTTGGCCTCACTTTCCCTATTGAGGCTTACTTTCCATCCCTTGTGGTTTTATCCTCCACACAAATCCATACTAGGAGTCTATGTACATGATAAGTATATCATAGACACACACACGCTCTTTCAGGTTTGCACTGATGTGATTTCCTTTCTTTCCACCATTCTTGAAGCTACTGCTCAAAGACTAGCGCATATACCTCTTTCTCCCAAGCAATCTTCCTGTATCACTCTAAATGGAATCATTCTCCTTTAATTCTTCTATATCATGTCCTGCATAATTCATTTATTCATTTGTATACTCATTTATCCATTCAGTAGATACTTCTGAGTATCTGTGTAGCTGACACTGAGGTAGGCACAGAGTGTTAAGTGGTAGAAAAGAAATAAGTTTCTTCCAATCATGAAACTTACAGTCCAATCTAGTGATGGAGATAGACCAAAGAAAACTAAATGACAATTATTAATTATCGCATATGATAAGAAGTACATGACCTAAGAGTTTTGACAGAGAACCATTATGTTGGTCAAGAATTACTTGTTTTAGGTAAGGTAGACAGAATTGAGCTCCCTGAGGAGATGTAACTTAAATTGAGTTATAAGGCAGGAGAAGCATCTAGCCAAAAAAAAAAAAAGGTCGGGGGGAAGGAGCAACACAGGAGCAGTGTGTGAGGAGGGCTAGAGTATAGGCCACTTGATGAGAGACAATATTAGAGTTATCAAAAGTATTTCAGACCATAAAAAAAAATTCAAGATTTACCTTACATGCAATGGGAAGCATATACAAGGTTCCAAGCAGGAAACTAAAGTGACCTAGTCTATATTTTTACAAGATCATTCTAGGTGCTGTGCAGATAATGGATTACAGGAACCAAGGCTGAAAGTGGTGAGGCATTTGGAAGGATATTGCAATACAGTGAGAGATAGCATTGTCTTGGGATTGAGGTTGATAAAGTAAAAATGAAGAGAGAAAGATACATGTAACTTTTGGGAAGAAAGAGTGGCAGGTCTTGCTGATGGTTTGGAGTTGGAGGAGAATGAGAGGAAACAGGTAATCAAAGTGAGTTTCAGCTTTCTGACAAGCAACTGAAAGGTAGTAGCAACTTATTGAGATACAGAAATGTGAAGCAGAAATAGGTTTTGGGGGAAAATCAATTGTTTGGCTTCAGAAATGTTAGGTCCAGCTGTCTCTGTTTCATCGAATCCAAGAAGAAAGTCAAGTATATTCACAGATATGAATCTAAAGTTCAGAGAAGAGTCTAAAAATGGGAATGTAATAGCATAAGCTGTCAGCATGTGGCTGAATAAAAACAAAGTAGTAGTCACTACTTGTTGGGTGAAAGTGACAGAAAAAACTAGATAAAACAAAAAAAGCAATTTCTTGACTCAAATTGAAAAAGAACAGAGGTTGAGTTTTAGGCACATCTGCTGCCTGATGGTTAAATGATATGACTTCTCTGTCTTGGTCTCAATGTGATGTGGTTTGACTGTGTCCTCACCCAAATCTCATCTTGAATTTCCAGATGTTGTGGGAGGGACCCAGTGGGAGGTAAGTGAATCATTGGGGCAGGTCTTTCCTGTTCTGTTCTCATGATAGTGAATAAGTTTCACGAGATCTGATGGTTTTGTAAAGGGAAGTTTCCTTGCACAAGTTCTCTTCTCTTGTCTGCCGCCATGTGAGATGTGCTTTTCGTCTTTCACCATTATTTTTAGACTTCCCCATCCACGTGGAACTGAGTCCATTAAGCCTCTTTCTTTTGTAAATTGCTCAGTCTCAGGTATGCCTTTATCAGCAGTGTGAAAACAGAATAATACACTCTGTCTGTCTCCCTCTCCCACCTAGGTCCAACTTGTCATTTAGTTGTGTTTTCTTGTCTGTCTTCCTCACTAGATTGAACTGTATGTGTATAATATTATATTATACATGTGCTATATATTTAGCATTGTTGGGGAGGGAGGTAGTTTGCCTATGCTTCCCTCTCTTCATGCCATTTTTCACATTTTTCAGAACGT